ATGACATGATCAGGGACATGTTGAAGTCTATAAATGTGGTGCACAAAGAGTTTGGCCAGGGTGCAAGCTGATGGGATTTTTGGACATGGAATGAAATGGATTTGAATAAGTCTGTAACCACCCAAATTGCAGTGTTCCCAGCATTCTCAGACAGTTCTACAATGAACTTCATAAAGATTTCCTTCCAAGGTGCATGGAGATTCACATAAAATTTCGCCCCTACCCAGGCCAGCCCGTCCCTGAGGGTACATTGTTCTTACTGAGCTTCTTGCCATTCATCTCCTTTTAAGGCATTTTTTAGTTTGTCAGTATTTCACAGGGGATGTCTGGTTCAGTTTTCCCTTGACCCCTCGTGATCACTGCTGCTGCCAATTGGTTTGACAGAATAACCGGTCGGTCTATTTCAGGTCTGGCACTGTTGTATTGTGGTAATCAGGATAAGTCATCCACTAAAACATTTTTCCTCCCCAGGATATAGTGCAGGCTAAAATTAAACCAATTGAAATACTGCATCCTGGCTTGCTTAGAGGATAACTTCCACGGGATTTTTAAAGTTTCCAAGTTCTTGTGGTCTGTCTATACTTTAAATGAGTGTTTAGAGCCCTCTAGGAGAGGGGTCGCCAATCTTTTGGATCTCAGGGACCACCAAACTCATAATTTTAAATCCCAGGGACCACTTACTGGTTAAGTGGGCATGGCCTAATTTGTGGGTGTGGCTTGGTGGTCATGTGACTGGCTGGGCATGGCTTGTTTGTAAATATTATAAATATTTATATAAATATTGATTTTTTTATTTTTATTTTTTATTTATTTATTTATTTTTGCATACGGTACAGCTGCTTGAAATTTTTTTAAAACTGACTGTACTAATTTCATGTGCTCCTTGAGAGTCTCGGTGTAGATAAGGATATAATCAAGATAAACCAGTACCCCTTTGTACAAATGTTCAATGTTCAATGTTATTCATCAGTTGCATGAATACAGCAGGAGCCCCTGAAGGCCAAATGGGAGAACTCTGAATTGAAACATCCCAGCGGGCAATTGAAGGCAGTTTTCCATTCATCCACCTCCTTAATTCAAACTCGATAGTAGGCTTCTTTCAAATCAAGTTTCATGGAAATTTTCCATTTAAATTTCTATAATCAACACACAAGCACAGAGAGCCATCTTTCTTTTCTCGGAATAGTACTGTAGCCACCACTCGAGGCCTAGCAGGTTGGATGAAACCTCGTTCAAAGTATTTATCGATGAACAACTGCAATTCTTTTAGCTCCTGCGATGTCATCGAGTACAGTTTAGTTTTATAGAGTTTTATCCTCAGTAGATCCTCGATACTGCAATCTGTTGGATGATGAGGAAGAAGCTTGTCTGATGTCTTTTCACTAAAAATGTCATTTAAATCCCAATATTCTTCTGGGATCTTCTCCTCCCCACCCCCAAGCTCTCACTGCCCATGGACGCCAACTCTGTGGAATTCTGGGAGTTTGGTTGAGACCAACCCCTTCCCTTCCGGGGGTTGGTCAATGTGTATGCAAAACGATCCCCTCCTCCAATCCACTTCGGGGTTCCACTTCCAGAGCCAGGGCAAGCCTAGTAGTAAGGGGCGCTCCATCCCGGGGACAACAATAAAACACCAAGTCTCTCTATGTCTCCCCATTGTCATTTCCACTGGTTCTGTTATGAAATGTGCAGGGCTGCCTCCAGTTACTGATCCATCCAGTTGGCAAAATGCTAGGGGAGTTTTTAAAGTTCTTAGCCTTAATCCCAACTTCTCCACAACTTCTGAGCTAATAACGCACCTTGTGCACCCAGAGTATAACAAGGCCAACATCCCCCCTTGGGTACCCTTAATCTCACTGGGATGGTCATTGGGCCCTTGTTTGGACTTACCAGAGGGTCGTCTTCAGATTCGGATTCACTCTTGCCAGAAGAGGTCGGAGTTCCCAGCTCCTCTCCTTTTGGAGGGACGAACTCTACAACCTCCTCCTCTTTAAATGCCGTTTTGCGTGGCTCAACTGGAGTTTTTTCAGGTTTTCTTCCTCCCACTGGCACCCCTTTGGCTCCAGCTTAGCGCATCAGTCTGCAGCCCAGTGACCTTCCTTCCTCACATTGGAAGCATACAGTGGTCTTGGGTTTTACTGCCAATCCTCCCTTGTGGGGCTTTGGGGCTTCTCGGGGGTTGGTGGGGAGGGCTTGCTCCAACTAAGGCTACCCCTGCATCTGTTTCGGGTCAGATCAATTTCCACCTCTGCTGCTAATGAGTACCAGAGTTGCAGGTCACTCAAGTCTTTTCTGATGACCAGTCTTGAATATGGCACACCAGCTCTCTAAATTCCTGGGTGTATTCGGCAACTGATCTCCGCCCCTGATTTATGGTCTTCATTCTAATCCTAGCCTTATGTTTGGCCAGTGGGTCTTCAAATCTGGTGCGCAATGCTGCCATGAACAGGTTGTAATTCATCACATGGGGGACATTATCATTATGCAATGTCACCATCCATTTTGCAGCCATTCCTTCTAAAGCCCTGGTGACACATCTCACTTTAGCTGCTTCTGAGGAAAAATCATCCCCATATTCTTCCATATAGTTCCAAACTTGGCCTAGGAAGGAACATAATTCCTTGGGATCCACTCCATATTTTACTTCCAACAGAAGCACCTTTGGAATTTGACACCTTCTGGCAATTGCTCCCCCCACCAGGGGCCCTTGGGTTGTCGCCACCTGTTGAACTTGCCCAGGTTGATTTACGGGGATGGCTGGTGGGGCTCCCATTGCTGCTGCTGCCTCCTCCTTCTCTCTCTCAGATTCTCCACGAGTTAGCAACCCCTACCTTTGATCAGGTTTGATTCCTTCATTCAGGAGATTTAAGGCTTGCATTAGCAGGAGATTTCTCTTCTGTTCCTCATGTGAAGCCTCTGTGCTGTCGGGTAATTGTCACTCCTGGAGGGGGTTTTCCTCCAGTTCTTTCCATTCGACTCCCAAAGACCATTTGGGTCGGACCACCGGTTTCTTGTCAAGGTGCAGCCCAGCTAGCAACTCAGCCTTCCCTGCAGCATCCAGAAGCAGGGACATGGTTTTTCAAGTAGATCCCAAATCTTCTTGGTCGCTAGATGAATTAGACATTGTTTTTCAGACGCCCTCAGATGAAAGAGTATTAATTCTCTGGGTGGGCTGGTAAACTGAGACCTAGAATAAATGTCAGATGGTGTTCCATTCAAAATCCAAGAAAGACACTCTTAGACTCCATTATTATAGAGAAAATAAACTTTTACTGGAAATCAAGTTGTATCACAGGCATCAAAAGAATTCTAGATCTGAGGATTTATGGGTGAAAAACACATTTACAAAGTGATGGCAACATTCCCAGCCACAATAGTTCAAGCGGTCCATCCAATCAAAGCTGTGTATTATGTCATGTGGGGCATCTTCAGGTGGTGATGCAGACATCTGCCCTTGGCCTAGTTTGATAAAGAGCTGCAATTGTGCAGTAAACAAGCAAGTAAGCATAAACAATAAAGTTTTCCCCAAGTTATACAGATCATTCTCTAAAACCTCCAGCACATTTCCCACCCCCACAAAGTCCAATTATTTCACTCTCCCCCCATTACTATGGCAGCCAAAAGATGCGAGAGAAAGGAAAGGAGTCTTGAAGGCTGACACATACTCTTGTATATAGTTCCATACCTGGGCAAGGAAAAACCTGGCTGCTTCGGGTCTTCAAACCCAGGGTGGGGAGCCTTGGTATTCTTGTCCTAGGAGGACGGGTGTCAGACATTGTAGACATTGGTCTCCTGGCTGACTGCTACCGCACAGCTTACCTGCTATCAGACTGACCACAGCCTATACCCTAGAGAAGAATAATCCTTGACTCCATAAGTATTAGAGAAAAGGGTACTTTTACTGGAAATGCTGAGGAACCTGGCATCCTTGAAGGCAGGAAGATGATCAGTTTGGCATCTCTGGTTCCTGTCAATGTCTATACTCCCCAATTTCCCACAGCTCTAGCGCTCTTTACCTCCCAAATGCCCCTTCCCCCTGGTTATGGCAGTTGCTAGTGAGCTTCAAATAAAATGAAGATAGGGAGTTGACAGCTGCTCAGATAAAGTGACGTTGCATGGTCAGCCAGGGACCAGGCTGGCACGGAGTGGGTACCAGCAGCCTGCAGCTTAAGCTCTTTACCACCATCAGCCCATTCAGCCCCAGCAGATCTGAGGCTATCATTCCCAGGGTGCAGGTGCAATTGCATTGCTTTTGATGTGTAGAAAAGTAAACAGCTTATTTTCTTGCAATTTCTTTCCCTCCAATCTGCTCTACAAAAATGGGGGGGAAAGCCTAGGTCAAGCATAAGATAATGCATATTGGCTATAATAGTCATCACATGATTGAGGAACTCTGTGAAGATAATAAATGCACTGTAAAATTATTTCTTCAGCACTGTTGAAAATTTGAACAGTTGCTGAACGAATGGTAAAGACTATCCATAGTATGCATTTCTATGAAGCAGGATCTATGATAGGCAGTAATCTACAGTATTTGCGTCCAATACTCTTTTTATCATTTCATTTTGTTTTATTGTATTTTACACTATGATATATGTTATACCACAGGAACACAATACATTGTAGAGTATATTGTGATTACAACAATCTGTGGTTATAACAATAAACTTTTTTTTACAAAGCATCATAAATTCAAAATATTTGAATCCTTTTATTATTTTAAGAACAGAAATGCCTGTCCATGAGTCAATAATATAGTTACTAATTTGATGACCTTCTACCAGAAGTTAACAATTGACAGCCAATTTTTACTGTGTATTTACATTAAATTCAGTACACTCTATACACTTGTCTATAATTTAGGTAGATTTTCTTTAATGGAAACATATATATTAGATTTAATTGTAGAATATGTTTGGGGTCACTTATTGAAAATATATATATCTTTTTTACCGTACTAGTGTTGAACATATTTAATGATTTTGCTTTGACTTTTGCAGTTACCTCATCGCCGAGTGACATTTTCTGCAGCCAATCAGGCTCAAGATCTGCAGGATCCCTCCCAGCACAGTTACTATGACAGTGGCCTTGAAGAGTCAGAAACACCTAGCAGCAAATCTTCATCAGGGCCTCGGATAGGGCCTCTGGCTCTACCTGAGGACCACTATGAGCGCACCACACCTGATGGCAGCATTGGTGAGATGGAACACCCTGAGAATGGTAAGAAAGTTACAGCAAATTAAGAAGCCTTCTAGTAAAGTACATCTAATTGTTCTTTGGCAAAGAGTCTGTACTATTTTTATTGAAGAACTAATTGTTTATCATCCTGGAAAATTTTTTTGCAGGTTTTTATTGCAGGTTATTGAGGCAGACTGACTTTCACAGACATTAATTAATTAATTATTCCACTCATCTCACTGTTGAAGCAACTCTGGACAGCTCAAATGAATAAGAAGAAAAAGAAAGTGAAAAGCATATTGAAATAAGATTTAGGTTTGAAGAACTGTCAATAAATGACTGGTTTTACCCCATTCTTTACCACAGATTTTCTGCTCTATAGAACTTCCTTCTCACATAGAACAGACTTTTCTTTAATTTCAGAATGGAGAGTAAAAAAATATTTATTGATAATGAGACATTAACTATTTCTTGCATCCAAGCAGTTAAATCTCTCTTAAAGCTTATCCAGCATGAAAAGCAAAGGACAAGAAAAGTCAAGAGAGCGACTGGGTGGTCTTATGTGCTTACAAATATCGTGTTTGCTTCCTGAAGCTGCAAACAGAAATTATGCCTAAAGATTCTGACCAGAGATTATTACCTGTCTCCAGCATTACATCAAGTTAGAAATTAATGCAAGTGAATGTATTCTTGAAGCAAACTATACATGTTTTATAATAAAATATTCATCACTTCAGATCTACATAGATAGTTATGAGAAAACAACTTGATGTAGTGGTAAAGTTACCAGATTAGAATCTGGAAGACCATGATTCTACATCTTTCTGATGCTACAGAAACAAAATACAGGACAGCAAAATTAAATCTGGTCCACCTAACTTTGTTAACCATGATAAAATATGTCTGGTTTTTCTCTGCACCTGATCACATTATAGGTGGGAATGATTCATATTACGTCTTATTAGATATTGATACACTGTAATATATAAAGACAGAAGCTGATGAGTTGGAAACCAGTGATTCTCAAGTTGAACCAAACATTTTATGTATTTTAAGCACAGTCTTCAAATCAGGAAAAAAAATCAGATTTCCTTCAACTTAAAAAGGTGAAAGGAAATCCCTAGAATGTAAACTATAGAGGCAAACAGAGCAGGCCGGCACGCAGACAAATAGGCAGCTCTATCTTGTTTTACAGTCCATGGCTCCTGATTTCTCTCCAAATAAGCTAATCTAGTTATGTCATACCTATAGGCTTTTGCTGTAAGTTCCTTAAAAGGCGATGTGCCTGGATAATTGGTTTGTTTATTAAATTTATATGGCACCTATCTCACAGGTCAAGGCAACTCTAAGTAGCTTACAATGTAATAAGCCATAAAGACATAAAACAGATTAAAATTACAAAAGATTAAGAACAGACTAAAAGACCACAGGTTTGGAGCAAACCAGAAGTGGTACCTTCTTTATCACTGCACCAGTCACCTTCAGAGCTCAAATTTATTTCCATGCCTATTACAAAGTCTGACCACTGAAGGAAAGGAAAGGCCTGCTGAAAGGGAAGGGAATTATTATTTGTCACTTTCTTATCATTTATACATATACCCCTATTCTTTTTTTAAAATAAATGTATTTATTCAATGTTTATGAAATTAAAAACACATATTTACATTTTACAGCGTTGTTTAAGCAATAGATACACTTGTACTTTTCTTCTGATAGCGTGTTATGCATTGTTATAATAACTCCTTCTTCATTTTAAACTCTATATATGCATACATATGGTTTATTTACGTTTATTTACATGTCACCCTTATTTTTCCAAAATGTTACCAGGTCATCAGATATCACCTTTTCTTTATCCAGTCGTACCAGATATCCCATGTTTTGTAATATTCACTGTCTTGGTTATCTTTTAACAACTTAGTTAGTCTACCCATCTTGGTACATCCATGTACCTTATTGATTATCATATTTTCTTTTTTTTAAAAAAACAAAGTTTTTATTTTTTACAACAAACATACAAACAAAACATAAAAACATAAAACCCTCTTTCAATTATATACATACAGTGTGTCAGTTGGTTACAATCTTTTGTGCTATCCTTTTTTTAACATTACTCACAAGTTATATAAATTCTCACCTTATCGATCAAGCTTGTGCTTATATAATATCAATTATTAAACATTCATTTGACTATTTTTCCATCTTTTATACGAGATATTCTAGTTTTCATTATGATTTAATCTTATACATTCATCCAATGGTTATATATTTGATATTGTATTCTATATCAATCTATTAACTTTTATTGTAAGGCTTACTAATCTATTTCTTTACCGTGTCTTTTTATCTAACCATTGATAAAATAAATCCCATATCATATAAAATTGTTTATCCTCTTGTTCTCTAATTTCAAATGTCAATTTACACATTTCGGCACAGTTCATGATTTTCTTAATAATTTCCTCCTGCATAGGTATTTTTACATTTTTCCAATTCTTAGCAAATACAATTCTAGCTGCTGTTAAAACATTTACAATCAAATATTTCAATTCCTTACAATATATTTCTGGTATAATTCCCAATAAAAATATCTCAGGTTTAAAGTCTATGTGTTGTTTTGTCATTTTTTCCAACCATGTGTGGATTATAGTCCAATATCTTTTTGCATCCGAGCATGTCCACCACATGTGGTAATATGAGCCAGGTATCTGATGACATTTCCAACATTTATCTGATTTATTCTTGAACATCCTCGCAATTCTCGTCGGGGGTAAGTGCCACTTGTAAAACATCTTATACAAATTTTCTTTATATGCAGTTGACATTGTCATTTTATAATTTTGAGATCACAATTTTTGTCATTTATCTAAGTCAATCCCATATCTGAAATTTTTCCCCCATGCAATCATTGTTTCTTTTACTTGTTCTTCCTCTAATTTAAACTCTAGCAAATGTCCATTAAGTTTTTTTGATTACTTTTTCATCAGTACCTGTCAAAATTTTATCTAAATCAGTCAACTTATTATAGATACCTTCTGTTTTAACATCTTTATCAAATCTAGATTGTATTTGCAAATATGAAAACCAATTCATTTTTACACGTTGTTCTTCCAATGCTTGCATAGATTTAAGTTCACCCTTTTCATTCAATATCTCCACCATATATAACTGTTTGTTCCTTTTTATATCTTATTGGATAGGAAAAAGCTTCAATAGTAGATAGCCATAGTGGAATTTTTAAATAATATTGCTTTTTTATCTTCTCCCAGTTTAGAAACAATGCTTCTCGAATATAGTGTTTTCTAAAATACCCCTGCATTTTATTTATTTTTTTTTGAAATAATTTTTTTTATTTTTTAATAACAAGATAAACATAAACATACATAACAAAATAAACATAAACATACCACAAAAAACATAAAAAGATCCTTCTTCATGAATTTACATACAGTGCATCGATTGGTTTACCACTTTTATTTGTGCATCCATTTCCTAGTCACTAGTATAATTATATTACATAATAGCTCATATTATCAATCAATAATTGTATAACCTAATATCATCACTAAAAAAAAATCATTTATAATTTTGTTAATTCATATTTTAATGAGATAACTATAGTTTGCTTAATTTATTTTGCAATAAATCATAAGATCATACCAAATCTACCTTAATAATGTTTTATAAAGATAATATTAAGAAAAAAAAATTTTTTTTATGCTAAATCTGAATATTCTATCATTATGTTTTATTATCTAACCATTGATAAAAAAGATCCCAAACTTCATAAAATTGTTTATCTTCTTGTTCTCTGATTTCAAATGTCAATTTGCTCATTTCAGCACAATCCAATATTTTCTTAATAGTTTCTTCTTCTGATGGAATTTTCTCACTCTTCCAGTTCTTAGCAAATACAATCCTAGCTGCTGTTAATATATTTACAATCAAATACTTCAAATTTTTATTATATATATCAGGTAAGATTCCCAATAAAAAAATCTCTGGTTTCAAGTCTATGTGTGTCTTTGTCATTTTTTCCAACCATATGCGAATTTTAGTCCAATATTTTCTAGCGTCCTCACAAGTCCACCACATATGGTAGTATGAGCCAGGTATCTGATGACATTTCCAACATTTTTCAGATTTGTTCTTAAACATTCTTGCAATTCTTGTCGGGGGAAAATGCCACCTGTAAAACATCTTATACAAGTTTTCTTTATAAGCTGTTGACATTGTCATTTTATAATTTTGAGACCACAATTTTTCCCAATTCTCCAAATCAATCCCATATCCAAAATTCTTCCCCCAAACAATCATCGTTTCTTTAACTTGTTCCTCCTCTAATAAAATTTCCAACAAATAAGTGTATAATTTTTTAATCATTTTTTCATCAGTACCTGTCAAGATCCTGTCTAGATCAGTCAATTTATCATAAAATCCCTCCGCTTTAGAATCTATAAGATACCTTGAATGTATTTGCGCATATGAAAACCAATTCATCTTTATGCCTTGTTCTTCTAGTTTTTGCATTGTTTTAAGTTCACTCTTTTCATCCAATATTTCCCCATATCTAACTGTTTGTTCCTTCTCATATATTATAGGATAAGAAAAGGCTTCAATAGTTGATAACCAGACTGGAATTTTCAAATAACATTTTCTCTTAATTTTCTCCCAATTCAACCATAAAGACTCCCTTATATAATGCCTTCTAAAATAGCCCTGCGATTTGGTTCCCTTATACCAGAGGAAGGCATGCCACCCTAACAGCAAGTCATGTCCTTCTAAATTCAAAAGTCTAGTATTCCTTAGTGTTATCCACTCCTTTACCCACATCAGACTCATCGCTTGGTAGTATAATTCCCAATTGGGCAAAGCAAATCCTCCTCTTATTCTTGCATCTTGGAGCAATTTAAGTTTTATTCTCGCTTTCTTCCCCTGCCAAATGCATTTTAGCAGTATTTTGTTTAAATCTTCAAAAAATTCTTTCCCTAATCTGATTGGAATTGTCTGGAATAAGTATAAGATCTCCGACAATACATTCA